CATGACCTTAACTAAAGAGCAAGCACTTTTAGTAGCAAAATGTCTCTCGTGCTGTATCGGTAAACTATGTTACATGAATGGCCAACTGAAAGAAGGGAGAAGTTATCTTGAAATGTCCATCAAAATCAAAGAAGCTTTCTGTATTGAAGGTGACCATTTAGTCGAACGTAATATTCTTGGGGAGATTCTTTACGAACTTGGAGATTTTAAAGGATCAAAATTATGCTTTCAACAAGCACTTGGACGCCGATCTTGTGATTTTGACAATATAAAAGAAAATGTTGGTTTACACCTGCGAGCACTGACAAACCTTGGGAAGACACTTTCCAAAGACGTGAGAGAAAAACAGGAAGCTGAGCGATATTTGAAAGAAGCACTTGCAGTCCTTGAAAAGTTGACACTAGATATTCCATTTGCAGGGCGAATATTGAACAATATTGCACTGGTGTACTTTTATCTTGGGAATTACACACAAGCAAAGTCATTTATTGAAAGGGCGTTCTCCATTGACAGGATTAAGTACGGTGATAATAATCCATTTTTGGCTCAGAGAAACAGTGACCTTGCAATAGTTCTACGAGAATTAGGAGAATACCGCGCAGCTGAAGAATACTTACGAAAGGCAATTTCGGTGGTATCACGTTATGACGAAAATAGCCCCTATTTATCAACATACTATGGCAATCTTGGTAATGCGCTAAATGATCTCAGACTGTATGATGAAGCAAAGAGATGCTTGATTAGAGCAATTGCTATTGACGAAGATATGCATACCGACAGCCATCCAAAATTAGCCTTACATTTGAATAATCTCAGTTCGGTGTTTCAAAATCTCAGACAGTACGGGGAAGCAAAGAAGTGTATGGAAAGAGCACTTGCTATTGACGAACGTGTTTACGATGAAAACCATCCAACATTATCCTCAGATTTAAACAACCTCGGTATGCTGCTTCAAAATCTAGGACAGTATGAGGAAGCAAAGAAATTAATGGAAAGGTCGGTTGCTATTGACGAACTTGTATATGAAGAAGATCATCCAACATTAGCCTCACATTTAAACAACTTCGGTACGGTGCTTCAAAATCT